TTTAAGCATGTACTTTGATCACTTTCGGGAAATTGCAGAAATACGTGGAACAACAATCGTCACTGCCAACCTACACAACTTAGCCATCGTTCCTAAAATTCCATGGTGACATTTTTTTAGTCAACCTTCTGCCCACAGTACCAGAATACAGCGAACAGCTTTTTCTTCTCTAGCTATTAGCATTGCCAGTTCTAGAAATTCACAGAAATGAAATTATAACATATCTTTCATATGACATTCTCTCAGGATGCTTTTTTTTGTTTTGTTTTCACTTGTTTGTTTATAATCATGATGTGTGGGGGCATGGTTTAACGATCAGTCTGCCTGGTGGTTTGTCAATGTTATTGTCCTTTTTAAAGAATTTAAAGAATCATTGGGTTTCATTGAGTTTTGTTACTGCTTTTCTGTTTTCACTTTCATTGATTTCTGCCCCATATTGTTGATTACACTGATTTGGGGTGATTTACTTTTTTTTTTTTTCCTCTCTTGTATCTTAAGGTGGAAGCTTAGTTAGTGATTAGAAAGACCTTTGTCTGATATGAGCATCCGCTGCTCTTAGTTTCCCTCTAAACACTGCGTTAGCTGAATCCCACTGTTTAGGATGTTTTGCGTTCACTCAGTGCAACATATTTTCCCATTGTCCTTGAGTTCCTCTTGGCCCAACAGGTGATTTAGAAGTGTGTTGTTTAATTTTCAAATAGTTGAGGGTTTCCCAGATGTGTTTCTAGTAAATATACTTTAACTTCAGCTCCATTAGGGTCAGAAAAGACATGATGGATCATAACCTTTTAGACTGGTTAAGCATTGCTCCATAACCGAGGAGACGGCCTATCTTGACCGGTATTCCACGTGCACTTGGAAAGAATGTGCATTTGGCTGTTGGTCGAGTGTTCTGTGTGTGGCACTCTGCTCGCATTGGTTGACAGTGTTAAGATGTTTTAAATCCTTGATGTGCCATGAATTTGTTCTACCACTTACCGAGAGCGGAGTGTTAGTCCCTGACTGTAATCTTTGACCTACCTATTTGTCCTTTTGTCTGTTTATTTTTGTTTTTATGATCTGCATTTTTGCGTTTTGTATTTTGTAGCTCTTCTGTTTGGTGCATACACATTTAGTATTATTGTCTTCTTGGTGAATTGTACTGTTTATCTCTATATTGTACCTTTCTTTCTCCCTGATGGTTTTCTTGTTCAAAAGTCTACTTTACCTGGTGTCTTTTATTGTGCTGTCTTGTACGCTATAACCACTGTGATAGATACACAATAATGTTGCTGCCTTCCAGTTCCCAAAGGTGTCCACGCCCTGATACCTAAAATCTGGCAACATGTGACGTTCCATGACAAAAGGGACTTTGCCGATGTGACGAAATTAAGGTTCCGGAGATGGAGACATTGTCATGAATTATCGGGGTGACCCCAGTATATAATCAAGGGACTTGAAAGGGTCAAAGTCAGTGGTAGGAAGTGGGATGGTGAAATGCGGAGGCTGCTGTGATGGAGGGAGAGGGCAGGAGCCAGGGACTGCTGGCAGCCTCTGGAAGCTGGAAAAGGCAGGGAGACGTTGTCACCGTAGAGCGACAACTGCACCCAGCTCTGCTGACCCCTCAAGTGCAGCCCAGTGGCAGTGACTGTGTACTTGTGACCTCCAGAACCAGAAGACAATGAAGTATGTTGTTTGAAGCCATTACATTTGGGATCATTTGTTACAGCAGCAATAGGAAACCAACACAGACACTTTGGCTTCCTTTCGGTGACTGTTTTCATAATACATCCTTTCATCTTTTTTTAAATATTTTATTTATTTACTTTTCGAGAGAGGGGAAGGGAGGGAGAAAGAGAGGGAAACATCAATATCTGGTTGCCTCTCATGCGCCCCCTCCTCGGGACCTGGCTCACAACCCAGGCGTGTACCCTGACTGGGAATTGATCCAGCGACCCTTCGGTTCGCAGACCGGCATTCCATCCACCGAGCCGCACCAGCCAGGGCCACCTTTTTACTTTTAACCAACTGACACCATTGTGTTAAAGTGAAGTCAAATAGTTCGGTCTTACTGGTTGGTAATCTAGTCCTAAAATCTTTACCATTTACTTGTACTTTCACCATTTACATTTAATGCAGTTATTAACAAGGTTGTTTCCGGGTTGCCCATTTTATTGTTTGTTTCTGCCTTTGGCCTCTATTGTTTGCTCGTCAGGTTTCCTTTTACTGCCTTCTTTGTGTTTCCTGGATGATTTTGAAGTTTTCCATTCTAATTTATCTACTGGAATTCTCTCTGGAACTCTTTGTATGTTGCTTTTCAGGGGCTGTTGTAAGTATTGTAACACACCAAATTTCACAGGTCCTACAAAGAGGTCATATGTGACCTCTAAAGGGCCAATGAAAAGCCTTGCTACTGTGCCATCCCCATTGCCCCACTGCCTTACGCTGCGGCTGTTGTACGTGGTACATCTGCTCACACTACAAACCCCACCAGATACTGCAACCTTTTTTGCTTTCAACAGACATACATATTTTTAAAAACTTAAGAGGAGAAGAATATGCTACCACATTTACTTAGATATTTTTGTCCTTTACTTCTTGAATTTCCAAGTGTCCCGTTAGAATCATCTCCTGGCTGCCTGAAGAACTTGTCGTCTCTGTCGCGCAGGTCTGCTGCTCCGTTTTCCTTTATTTGGGCTTCCATTCCTGAAGACCGTATCCAGAAGAATCCCAGGTGAACTTTTCTTGTCTCCGAGGGCGTAAATTGTTCTGACCGTGATGTTTCTCATAGGAATCTGTAGTCATTCCAATCATGATCCTTCTCTACGTAATGTGTCCTTTTTTTCTGGGTGTTTTCAATTTTCCTTCACACGTTAGATGATGCTCATGACGTGTGCGGGCTTGGTGCTTAAAGATTCATACGTGCATTGCTTGGGCAAGATAATTTATGGCTTTCAAAAAATGTATGACATGGTCAGCTATCGATTTCTTCAAATATGGTATTTCTTCATTGGTACCGTTCATTTTTCTGGGCGTTCAGTAACATAAGCTGCTGCACAGATCCCTGAGTCTGTCTCTTCATGTTAAAAACCTGGAGGGCCGCTTATCCACACAGGCTCTCCTGTGATGCCGGAGAGGGAGCTCCCAGGGAGAGAGGAAGAGCTCTGCTCAGCGGAGGAGGGGCCTGAGGAGGCAGAAATGAGGCAGAGGTTTGAAGGGGTGAAGAAGCAAAGGGTGGTGCTGACTTACAAAAAACAGTAAGTCAGTGAGGGAACTGTTTGGGGAGAGAAAATCCAGCGCCCAGCAGGGCCGTGCTGTCTCCTGAGACACGGTGCTCAGTCTCCTCAGCACGTCCCCACGCGGCCCTCGCCCCTGGGGTCATCTTCCCCGTGCCAGTGACGGCCCCCCGGGCTCCTCCAGGCACCTAGAAGATGGGGGGCAGCCTTCCTCTCTCACTCTCGTGCTTCCCAGCCCATCACTGACTCCACACCAGCCCGTCTCCGGAGCCCCTCTGGACGGTGCCCCCAACCCCCCTCAAGATATTTAGTCATCACATCAGCGTCCTTCCTGGACCTCCCATCCAGGCCTCAGGCCTCTCTCCATTCCCTCCTCTCTCCGCCTCCTGGGGACTCTCCCTACAACTGATCTGGTCTGAGCCTGCCTGCGCCGCCACCTCCCCCCACAGTTCCCATCCTCAGACACGGTCCCTGTTGCACCATCTGCTACTCAAGGCTGTGAACGTTCAGGCTGGGGCCAATCTCACCCGCCCCGGCTGCATGACTCACACGCCACTGCCAAAATCGCCCCATTACCACACACCCCACCACCCCAATCCACACAAAGAAACTGAGGCATTAGAAACCGGTGCTTTCCTCAGCTGCCCTCTCAGCCAGTCTGAACAGAGCCCCCTCCTTCCCAAGATCTAGACAGGACCAGGAGCCGTCCTGTCTCCTCCTACTCAACTCTTAAGGGTGGTGAGCATTACAGGTTTATGTGAACAACTTAAAATACTGATCAAAAAGTCATCCATGGCCCAGGGGAATGTTGGTGTTTTATTACTGATGGAGGTGATATTCAATAGAGCCTGCGTGCATGAGGTTTCACACAGGGGTAGCCTTTTTAAGACATAAATCTGTTCGTACCCTCTGTTGCTTAAAATTTTTCCCACTGTCTCCATGATAAAATCCAAGCCATCTGCACGGTGTCCCTGGTCTTTGTGAACAGGCCACACAGCCTTGGCTTGACAGCTACCCCTTCTGAGAACAGACCGAGATCTTTCTGGTTGAGGACACCCCAGCCCCGCTCCCCTGGACTGACCCCTGCTCATGCCTTGGGTCACCCATCCCCGTGAAGGACCCTCACAGCCAGGACGCAGCTGCATGACGCCCCCTCCCACGGAGCCTCACCGCCTCATTTTCCTTTTCCTCCCGACGCCTACAGTCTCACGAGACTGCAACTGAGCCGCCGGCCGTCTCATATCTGCACTGTCTGTCTTCATTCATCGGAGGCCCCGCGAGGCCAGGGGAAGAATCCGGCAGCTTCCGCAGTGACTCCGCAGAGCCTGGCACCGTGACCGCACGCGGCCCCTGCTCAGTCAATACTGCCCGACGGCCTGGTCAGGGAGAAAGAGGAAGAAATGGCCTTGACAGAGGCTCAGGGGAGGGAAGTGACTTATGCAAGGAACAAACGTTCAAGGAAAAGCAGAGTCAGAATAGAAACAGAAATTGGGCTGCTCCTCTCCCAGTGTCCTCTACCCTCATGTTCCGGGGCAGGTGTCTCCCTCTGGGTTTCAGTGTCACGTGAGCTGGAGGCAGACATGGGGGCTCTGCTGACACTCACCTCAGGGTGGAAGGTCCAGAGCTAGGTGCCTCCTGGGGCCCATCCTTCAGGGAGGGGCACTTCCCTTCCGGTGGCCGCCGATGAGGAACCTAAGACATGTCACATGATGCCAGGGCCCCGTACGCCCCATTTGTCTCCCTGACTTGCCAGTGAATCTCACACGTCGTCTGCACACTGGAGACCATGGGAGGAGGCCCCAGGACCCCGACCCTCACGGCCCTCCTCTGCCTGGGTGAGCTGCAGGGAAGAGGAGGGGTGGGGGCCCCTCCCCTCCCGGGTCCTGGTCCCGAGGGACCCCAGGACTCAGGAGGCTCACGGGAACAGAGCTGCTTGGGGGAGGAGAGGTGGCTCCGACCAGGCCTGGAGCCTCGGCGTGTGGGTTGAAGGATGATCTCACGGGGACTCCCTTCCAGGGCTGTGTGGGGGCCCCTGGGACCAGGTCCGGGCAGGTGAGTCCTCCCCCTGACCTCCTGCTTCAGCACAATGACCCCTGGGCCGCTGGGGACACACAGTGGGTCTGCAACGATGGTGACCAGTCTGGGAGGGGCCTTGGAGTGACAGCTGGGGGAAGTGCGGGGAGAAGGGCACCCCCTGACACCACACGTCTGAACCCTTTTCAGAGGCCCTCCCCAGACCCTCCCTCTGGGCTGACCCGGGCCCCATGGTCAGCAAGGGCAGCCCTGTGACCCTCTGGTGTCAGGGGTCTCTGCGGGCTGATGCCTACGGTCTGTATAAAGAGAGGGGCTCTGAGCCCTGGCTTACGAGGATCCCACAGGCCTCCAGCAACAAGACCGGGTTCCTCATTCCATCCACGAGCTCACACCATGCAGGGCTATACGAGTGTGCCTACAGCGCTGGGCGCATCCTGTCTGAGCGCAGCGAGCCCCTCGTCCTGGTGGTGACGGGTAAGGAGGACCCCGGTCCCTTCCCCACTGCGGGCTCCCCCTCAGAGGCTAAAGGGAACAGAGTGGGGCTTTAGGGGGCTGCACCCCTCCCAGCCCGCACCTGGGGAAGGTGGGGTGTTGCTCCCCTTTAACTCACATCCTCCTTCTCCCTCAGGAGTGTTCAGTGCACCGTCCCTCACAGCCCAGCCAAGCCCGGTGGTGGCCTCAGGGGGGAAGGTGTCCCTCATGTGTACCTCACAGTCCACATCCGGCCCTTTCCACCTGCTGAAGGAGGGAGGGGCTGAGCCCCCCCGACGCATGGCATCGCAATGGATGTTCTATGCTGGGAGGTCGTGGACCCAGGCCGTCTTCCCTGTGGGCCCCGTGAGCGCCCCCCACGGGGGTAACTACAGATGCTACGCTTCCTCCGGCTCCTACCCCAATGTGTGGTCACACCCCAGTGACCCTGTGCACATCCAGGTCACAGGTGCGGTTTCCCTCACTAGGCTTCAATTCCTTCCTGGGCCCCAAATAACTGATCTAAATCTAAATGGGGGTCAGTGATCCAGATTTACTGTGTTTGCGGACAGAACCACAAACAGGAGGCTTAGAGGGGGACACGTGAGGACTCTCCCTGCAGCCCCAGTGGAGGGGGGGATGGGTGTCCCCTGGCTGCCAATGGCCCTTCTCCCCAGGCCTGTACAGGTCGCCCTCCCTCCGGGCCCAGCCAGCCTCCCTGCTGCTGCCTGGGGACAACCTGACCCTCCAGTGTCGCTCGGAGCCCGGCTTTGACAGATTCGCTCTGACCAAGGACGAGGGGCCCGCACCCCCTCAGCGTCTCAAAGGGCAGCGCAGCCCCGACTTCCCCCTGGGCCCTGTGACCCGCACCCACGGGGGCCGGTACAGGTGCTACAGCGGACACAGCATCTCCCATGCATGGTCGGCCCCGAGCGACCCCCTGGACGTCCTGATCGCGGGTGAGGAGCCCTGCCCTGTCCCCTGTCCTGACTGTCTGCTCAGGGTCAGACTGGGGTCACCGTGGCGGTGATGGGGCCCAGGAGAGGGTCCTGGAGCAGAGGCTCAGGGGCTGAGGTCTAGGGGAGGGAGCGAGCGTGAGGGAGGGAGGGGCATGGAGAGAGAAGACACTCACCCAGAGTGGCTGAGGGGTCACCGACAGCGTCCCTGGGGAAGGACAGTATCTCAGCTCAGGGCCAAGGGCATGGGGGGTGGGGGGTGACCCTCTGCACAGCACCGCCCTCCTCTCCCCAGGAGCAGACAGCAAACCCTCCCTGTCGGCCCGGCCGCCGCCCCCGGTGCCCTGGGGAGCGAACGTGACCCTGCTGTGTCGATCTGAGACCAAGGCTGACACCTTCCACCTGCAGAGGGAGGGCTCCCTGGACCCTCCCCTGCAGCTTCGTCTGCAGGGCACGGCTGCCCCCTCGGAGGCCACCTTCACCATCAGTCCTGTGACCTCGGGCCACAGTGGGACCTACAGGTGCTACAGCTCCCACAGCGCCTCCCCCTTCCTGCTCTCACAGCCCAGTGACCCCCTGGAGCTCCTGGTCCCAGGTGAGGAGCCTCTACCCCACCCATGTCCCCATGGTCAGGTCAGGACCCTGTCCCCCGGGGGACTTTGGTTTGGATCAGGAGTGAGCGGGTGAGAGAGGGAGGGTCAGCCTGTGGGACTCTCACCTCCCCGAGGGATGGAAAAGCCAGAGCCACCCCTCTCCTGCCTCAGCCTCATCCTCATCCCTGAGGCCCAGACAGCAGCCAGGTGCCCAGGGACAAGGGAGAGGCCTCGGGCAGAGCCCAGGCAGGAAGGGCCAGAGGGCGCCCATCCCCACCCCCTCCTTCTGCAGCGCCCAGGGCTCACCCAGAGACCAGGACCAGCGTGGTGACTAGCAGAGACCTTGCTCCCAGACAGAACACGATCACCCGCCCTGGCTTGCCTGTCTCCCAGGGGCGCTGGGGCCGGGCAGAGAAGGTGGGGGGATCATGGGGCCCCCAGGGCCGTGAGGCTGACAGGGGACAGGTGGGGCGGTCATGGCAGGGAGAGGTGCTGCGGTCCCTCCCAGGGGACGGGCAGCCAGGCTGAAGCGGGGAGAAGGCAGCCCCCACTCCTCACCCCCTTCCTGAATTTCCAGGAGGCTCTGAGGATCAGCCTCTCCCCTCCCCCATGGAGTCAGGCCCCCGGAGTCTCTGCGGAGAGCTGGTGGGTGTGTCCACGGGGACAGGGCCTGGGTCCCTGGAAGTTCAGGCTCCTCTGGAGGCTCTGACTTGGACTCGCCCTCCCCTCTCTGTGCCTCAGTGTCTCCAAGTGTCAACGGAGAGACTCCTGGCCCACAGCTTAGATTCCTTTCAGCTCTGGCTCTAAACTCCTGGGAGGGGATCCTCACAGGGAGGCCCCTAGGATGTGATCTTATGAGGTCTGTCCCCTCTACAGCAGCAATGGTGACACTGTACAGGGACAGGGAAGACATGGGTTTGGGACACTCGGGTCCTTTCCTCAGCTCAGGTGCTCAGCTGAGAGGAGGGAACCAGGGCTGGAGTCAGACCTGGGTCAGGTCCCGGCTCTGCGGCTCCCGCTGTGGGGCCCACGGTCCCTTCTCTTCTCTGAGTGTTGGGTTCATGTCTGTCTTCCCTAGTCCCCTCCTGCTCACAGGCCTGCGGTGACAGTAGGTGACATGAGGGGCCTCATAAGCCAAGGAAGGTAGAGGCCCAGCCCAGCCCAAACTTCTCAAGGGGCAATAAGGGTTCACCCCACAGCCTTGCCCCTCCCGTGTCCCTGCTGGGCTGGGGGGCAGGGAATAGGGCAGGACCCTCCGCTCCGGATGGGACAGGACAGGCCCCTGCAGAGGAGGAGCCCAGAGCTCGGAGCTGGTGTCCCCAGGGGGCAGCATGGGGACAGCACAGGGAACCCACGTCTGGGGTCCGGTCCCTGCCCTGCCCCGGCCAGGCTGGGGGCCCCGGGGCACGCGGCTCACCTCTCTGAGCCCCCGGGGACTGGGCGGTGGGTCAGCGATCCCTGGTGCAGGGGGGCTGTGAGGTTAGAGGAGATGAACCACAGACCCCAGCACGTGCCTCGCACACAGTAGGGGCTCATGAAAGGGCATCTTGGCTCATTCATGACATCACTGTAGCCCAAGGTCTGCAATGGTCCCTGAACATCCTGATCGGGGTCTCGGTGGCCCTCACCCTGCTGCTTGCCCTCTTCCTCTTCCTCTTCCTCCGACACTGGCGTCGGAGCAAAGGCAGGATGTCAGGTGAGTAGGGAACAGGGTGACCTGGGCCGCAGAGAATGTGGGGCTTAGAAGCCAGCGAGAGCTAAACCAAACAGTCGTGAAGGTGAACCAAGAAAACCTGCAGCGCTCCCCAATGGGGAAAAACCTGAAAAGATTAAATAAGAATACACGTAAGTATTTTTGAGTCTTCTTTGGCTTTTTCAAACGCATGAAATGTTTGAAAACATATGCAAGTTTTTCCTTCATCCAGCATTGCGTTCTATGTGGAGGTGGGTGGAAATTATGATCAGTTGTTAAGTCCTCTGCAGGTCTTAGCGCAGCCCCAAGGGAAGGGCCCTGGGGCAGTGCTGCAGGCTGACCCCACCTTCCTGCAGCGGCTGCGGCATCAGAATACGAGGACAGAGGCCTGCAGAAGAGGTGAGCCCTCTCCCAAAGACCCGAGCCCCACGCGTCCAGGCCCCAGACGTCCAGGCCCCTCCCATCCCCTAACGCTGTCTCCTCCCCCAGCTCCAGCCCCGCTGCTGGCATCCAGGAAGAGAACTTGTGTAAGTGGACAAGGATGAGGGCTGTCCTGCGGGGAGGACACAGGCCCGGGGGACTGGGCGGACTGCGGAGACCGGGAGTGGCTGGAAACGACACGGCAGGAGGCTGGTCCTGTGCGATCTTCACTCCATCACTGACCCTGTCTGGCCCTCTGCTGGGTGAGATCTCAGGGAATCTGGGCAAAAGATCAGACTGCCTTGCTCTGCCCCCAACAGATGCTACTGTGAGAGACACACAGCCTGAGGAGGACAGACAGCTGGACAGTCAGGTGAGCGCCGCCTGGTCCCGAGCAGGGTGCCCGCACCCCCTTGTCCATACACCAAATTCCGTGGGCACACCCCCCCCCCGCCACTCACCTCGGGGCAGCCTCTCGCTTCTGGAAGAACCTGCCCTGAGCTGCCGCCACACTAAGCTCCCCTGCCCTCCTCGCTCTCCTCCGCTGTCCGCTTCGAGCGGAAGGCTCAGGTGGAGACGGCAGGGCTGAAGGTAGGGCCGCGCGGTCTGAGCCTGGCACAAGGGGCTGAAATCCAAGCCCTGGGCCCGCAGAGGCACTTCTGAACCCCACACAACGGGTCCCACAGGCCCACGGGCCCTCTCTGTGCTCGTTCTCCCGCATCGGGCCCAGGAACCACGCAGGGCGATGACGCGCTCCCGCTGCCCCAGCCGCCACGGCGGCTCCCCCGGCCGGTGGACAGCACTGCCTGGAGGGCTGCGGCGGGGCCTGCCCCCCACCCCGCCGCATTATGCCCTGTGCCCAATTCCTATCTCCCCGGCACCACTGACACGGCCGGCCGAAATTTCAACCCCGCATCCCTCCTCCCCAGACCCCCAAAGATCCGACGACTGACAGGGACAGAGAACAAAGGTAGAACCAGGAAGACCAGCGCCCTCGCTGTCACCGGCAGTGATGGCCAAGGCCCGCAGGACTGTCCTTTCCTCCCCGGCCTGAGGCATCGCCCACCCCAGCCACGTGTCTCTGCTCTCCCCCACCACAGGCTGCGGCATCTGAAGACCCCCAGGAGGTGACCTACGCCCAGCTGACCCACCTGACCCTCAGACGGGAGACAAGTGCAGCCCCGTCAGAGGAGCCCCCGGCTGAGCCCAGTGTGTACGCTGCTCTGGCCGTCCACTAGCCCAGGAAGGGCCCAGACCCCACACTCCAGGGCAGGGGCCTGCAGGGGCCCCAGAAGGCACAGGAGCTGCCCCCAAGGACACTCAGCAGTGGCCCCGGCCAACCTGGAGACCCGAAATGGAACCCCAGCAGCTCCTGGAATCTCCTGGAAGTCAACTGCTTCCAGAACTCCATCGTCACACAGCTGATCGACGTCCCCATCAAAGGGACACCGCTGCCTGCAAGGGTTCCATGGAACTGCCTCAAGGCCTGAATTACATAAGTGGCAACCATGGGCTGAGCTGGCCCGCAACCCAGCCCATGAGCCACAGCTGTCACTGTGAGGCTGGGCACTTGCCTGACCTCAGCCCCAAAATCTGCAGACAAAAAGGGACCAACTGCAGGGTGCAAGGCAGCTGCTGCCACCGAGGGATTGCTCAATCCCATACTTCTCATTTCCAGATACCCAGCCCCTTCCTCCCCTGCCTGATGCAGCTTCTCAGCAAGGAAAAGGAAGCCTGCTCCCTACTGACCATGAGCATCTTCCTTCTCCAAAGGCGGGGGAAGGCGTGCCATTCATTGACCACTAATCCATTCCCAGCCTCACATTGTAACACAGAAATGAAAATCTGCCCATCAACCCCCCCATAACAAGCTGTGAAATGAGCCTGTAGATCTTATCAAATGCCACCAGCGTTCCTGACCAAGGTGCCTCAGTTGGGCATCGTCCCATAAAGCAACTGTCAGCAGTTTGATTCCTGGACAGGGCCCAGGCCTCGGTTGAGGGTTCCATCCTGGTCAAGGTAACGTGTGTCTCTCCCTCTTCCTCCCTCCCTTGTTGAAACTCACTAGCAGCTGATGGTGGACGGGATCGGCCCTTCGTTCCCAGCACCTCCCTGCCCCCACGTCTGACTTCTCTCACCATGGACGGGGCGAAGGGCTGGAGATGGGGCTGACGCTGCCTTCCCTTGCTACTTCCTCTGCCTGGAGATGACTGTTCAGCTGTCAGACCTTTTCTCCATTATTTTTTTGGTTTGTTCAGAATGTTTATCTTTTAAACTGAAATTAAAAATGATGTTTGCCAATTCTGTTAAATCTGGTTTTGACTCAAAGAACCTTCCTCGTAATACCCTTGGTCACCCTGCTCTGATGTTAGTGGTGTGCGAATGTTCTGTTCACTAGCACAGTCCGCACCCTAGGACGAGGACCCCCCCCTTACAGGCAGCCACGGCACCTTACCGTGACGGCTTCCGCAGCCTAAAATTGGAGAGACACAGATCGGCACAGCCCCTGACCAAGGATGACACAGATCGTGAAGCTTCCCCAATTTTTTGATGACTAGTAACAAAACCTGATCGCTTTGTACAGTAAGTGGATGTTGGAGTATGTTGTACACCAGAAACATTAGAAGGAAAAAAAAAAAAGCCCGTAAGGATCTGACCAAACCAGCCTAACCAGGGCCATTCTGTGCAGGAAAAACCACTGACAGGTGAGTGGACTAGCCCAGCCTGAGTTGCTTCCTGCTACACAGACTGTGAGTGTGTGTTCAGAGTTAGAAGAATAAGAGATGCCCAAAAGACCAGTTCCAAAGTGTTGATCTGTTTTATTATCTGACCAGAAAACTAGACACTCCACCAGCCCAGGGGGGATGAGGAGGCTTAATCCTCCTCCTCGTCATCACCGGCTCCTGCCCCGCCCTGGCCCTTCTTGGCGTTCTTCCTCTTCACTCGGCCTGGGCGGCCACCGCCGTACGGAGACCGAAGGGAGAAGTCGATATGCTTCTGGGAGTCCAGGCGGACAATGAAGGATGGGATGTTCACCACCTGCTTGCGGACCCTGGAGGGGGGATGGCAGGTCAAGGAGTGAGTAGGACCCCACCCTGGGCAGGACACCACTCTCCTCTCGCTTGCACCTCGCAGCTGACAAGGGCCAGCGCTACAGCTGCACTCATACAGCAACGCTGGCAGGGCCTCCTGGTCCCACAGCCGCTGGCGTCTATGTAGTCCCTCCATCTAACCCGTACAGCACTTTGTGAGACAAGCTCCTCTCACTTGACAGAGGGGAGGGACAGTCACAAGTAACCACACAAGACCACAAAGCAAATGAGATGAGGTGGCAGCTTATAAAATCCAAGTTCTGACGTTCAAACGCTCTGAACCGTGCCAGACACTGAGCTTTGTTATCCTGCACGTTCCCGTCCTGGATGCAGCAGCCCACGGCCAGGTCCTGAGGCTCCTGCCCATGGGTCACGACAGGCCTGGGAGAGGGCTGAGGCATCCATTCCACATGCAAACATCCTGCCCCGTGCCACACTACTTTCCCCTGAATAATGCCCAATTTACAGAAAGGGCAGCCAGTACCCAGATAGAGACCCACCAGCCTGCCTGCTCTCTTACTGCTCCAGCCGCCGCCCTGAGATGCGGCGCCCAATATCTGCACCGCAGCGGAGCCTGGAGTGTGGCCCATCTGCCAAGCTAACACCCAACAGGATCAGCGTCTGGAATGACTTCACAAGTGGGCCCCGTACAGAGCTGAGCCCACCCAAGTCAGCTGAGGCCCAATGACTTCTCTCTCAGTTGCGGGACACCAGAGCTGTTACCTGTCCAGCTGCCTGCATGCCTGGCGGAGGCCTTCGCAAGGTGTACGGCTTAAGCCGCAGTGACCCTTGTGCTGGGCTATGGGGGGGGCGGGGTGAGGTGGCCCCCAGCCTCCCACAAGCTGTTTGTAGGGGTCACTCTGTACCCTCAAGGTGAGCTCTCACACCTTTGTCACCTCCAATGGCTGCACAGGAGACAGGGACAGCAGGCTTAATAAGAGCAACCTTCAGGAGAGAGGGGGTTGGTGCGCAGGCCTCAGGGAGCCCACAGAGGTAGTACCTGATGTGCCGCTGGCGGATCAGCACACGAGCATGGTGGATGGACTTGGCCAGGCCCAGCTTGAAGACCTGGGTCTGCAGGCGTCTCTCCAAGAAATCCTCAATCTTCAGGCCCAGGATGTAATCCAGCTTCATCTTCCCCTCGTCCAGCACCCCAATGCGCACAAGGCGCCGCAGCAAGGCATTGCCTAGGGAAGAGGACACAGGGATGGAGCATGAGCCAGGGTTCAAGTCCTCCACCTCAACAGCTCCACATCACACTGGTCCTGCTGGTGGAACATCGGTGGGAAGCAGGAACTAATTCTGACAAAGGACTCAATGTACCGGCCATCATGTGACTTGTGATTCTCCACAAAACCCTAAGGCAGGTTCCTACGGGACAGCTATCTCACTAGGGAGAGCAGGAGACCGCACACACCTGTGCTCTCATCTGGAAAAGGAGAGCCTTCCTCAGAGTTGTCAAGAGGAAAAACTGAGACGATCCCTGTAAAAGGACTTAGTATTCACCTGCAAGACTAAGGGCTGCTGTCATTAAACTATGGCTTCCACAAAGCATGGGTGTAAGCGCGAACCTTCGAGAGTTAAGAAAGCCCTACCAGTTTCCCCACACAGGCTTACAGCTAATCAGCACACTGACACTGGAAGGATCGTCTCACTTTTTAAGAAGCGGTTCTCACTATCTTTCACTACAGCAAAACACACAGACCCACATTTACTGAGTACTTCCTCGCCCCCAGGGAAAGCCTGAAGGAAAAAGCTGGCTGACTTCATGGGCACCGCAGTGCCTGAGGAGCCCGTCACTACAGCGGCAATGCCGGCACTGACGTGCATTAGTTCCTGATCTGTGTGTGCGGATGGAAGTTTACACTGGTCAGTGCCTGAATGAAACGCCAGCCAAATGCTTGCTCCTGATTAAGCGTTAATGTCTTTTTAACAGATTGAAAGTCAGGGAAGCTTCTTGCCCAGTCACGCACCTTAGTGGGAAGGCTGCATCTGAAACAAGGTGGGGCTATTCCAGTGAGGAGCACCTCCTGCAGTGAGGTCCCAGGCTCCTCCTCCCTTGTACTGTGGTAAGTGGCTCATTTACTAGAAAGTGAAGATGCTGCCTTCCCCTTGCAACTTCCATTTCTGCCTTGGAAAACCACAAGTCTTGGACACCTGTCGATCATCTCTTTGCCATACGACTGTCATCTAACCGCAGACTTGAGTAAGTTTCATCATGACTAGCTCCAGCTTCAGAGAATCCTGAGATAAGAACCATCTGTGTCCTGCTCCCTACAACCTCTGGGATTAAGTCCCACCCAGTATCAGCATCTACGGGGATCCTGGAACTTTCATGAGACGGTCAAAGGGGTTTATGAACTAGTAAGAATAAAAAGCTCTAACATCCATGAACCTGAGGCAGATTTCAGTGTGATAAATTTGTGACGGTTAAACAAGCTCCAGCCTTTATAACCTCTAATGTAGGTGACCATTCTCATGGTTAATAGTGACTACTCAGGTCTAAAAGCTCTTCCTTAGCCACAGATTGGGAGAAAAATCGTACTAGTTACCCTGACTGAAAATTAAGACAAAAGTCTTGTACACAAGGCAGGCAGGCCTGATTCTCAACCCCATCTGCTTCTCACCATAAATCAAGGTCCCCTGACCTCAGGCTAAAAGCAGTATCAAGATGACAGCTGGAGCTCTGTTGGTTAGAGCGTCCTCTGATACGCCAAGGCTGCAGGTTTGGTCCCTGGGTCAACAACCAGTAAGTGCACAAATAAATGGACCAAGAAACTGATGTTTCTTTCTCTCTCCCCCTTCGTCTAAAATCGGTAATTTTCAAAAAATTAAAAAAAAAAAATTTTTTTTTTAACTTAAAAACATTACAGCTGTCGAGGAGCCAAAGGAACCAAAGACAAGTTGCAGATGCTTGAAGTAAATTGCATGGTATGCAACTTTTATCCTAACAAAAGCTGTTACAAAAAACATCCAACTTACAGAACCACCTACAGGCCGACTTCAGTCTATTTCACTCTGTACACACATCTCTTCAACACCCAGGATACAGGGTAAGATAAACTCCCCAACTTAGGCATCCCATTTGTTCATTTCTTTACTTTTGGTGGCTTTTCTTAAACTTCCTCTAAAATCATCTCCTTCCATCCCCGAAATGAGTTCCCCCTGGAGTCTGTCTCCAGTCTTACTAGGATAGGGGGCCTCTCTCATCATTTGTTCATCAGTAAGAGAAACATGAGTTGCGCCCTCCCCCCAAACACGCCTGCCATGCAGGCTAAGTAATGTATATGAAGAGCTTAGAAAAAGGCACTTAAGTCTTTATGAAGTATCAACTATTTTAATATTATTGCCACCTTACAATCTGAGAAGAACTATCAAAATTTGAGTGCAGTCACATCAATTTTCCATTAACTTCCCATCTCAAAGTAGAAATTTAAAAGCTTAATCAAGAGTATAAATGTTCGTCCCTGTGACGTTTACAGGCCTCTTGTTCAGGCGTTTGCTAAATGGTACCTAATGTCTCGACCACCTTATTAAAGCTGGCAAACGTACACAGCCAAGTTTCCACCCTGCAGTCACCAGCAAACATTTCAGGAATTTCACTGTCTATCCCCACCACAACCATTGTTACATTACATACAGCTAGACCCAGGCACCCAAGCTTAGTTGGCATTATTAGTCAAGAGTCAGTACTTGCATAATACAAAGTTCACACATTAGGAAGAGTGAAAGGATTTGAATCCAGACCCACTTTTCCTACCCCACAATTCCCATCTAATGCGAAGTTAAAATGCTGGCACCTCTTGTTCAATTTAACACCTGTGATCACTGGTCTATCAGGCCTAGAGGTACAGCAGCCCTGCACCTCATCACTTTCCTGTGGGCTCCCATACACACCTTCAAACAGACGCCGTGGGTCTTTCTCGTCCAATGTCAGCAGCTCCCGAGCAGCCTTACGGATCTTGGCCAGGGTAAACTTGACCCTCCAGACCTCGCGTTTGTTCCGGAGCCCATACTCTCCTACAAAAAAAGGGCGGGGGAGAGTTGACAGAAGTCGACGGGGGAACAGGCGGTCGGACGGACACGTGCAAAGTGCTTCGGGATACAGAAAATCTTCTGAAACCACTCGTAATTCTGCGCTTGGGATAGTGGGAGGGGAACACACCGAGCACGTGGCCGAACTCACCCACGTGCTAGCTTTCCCCAGACCCCGAAAGGCGAAACCCTGCCTTGGCAACTCACCGATCAGCTT